AAAACTTGGCCAAATGATCACACTTGAACACACTAGCATGCTTATGATGAACTTTGTGAGAATGAGCATGTGAATGTGTAAGTGTACAAAATAAAGAAGCTACATGAGATGCACAAGGATCATTAGAATTCTTATGTTTGTGTGCATCATAACAAAACTTAGCTAAATGATCTTGACGGCCGCAAATAGAACATTTATAAGTTTTGCTATACATGTGTGCATAATGAGTGGATGATTTTGACTTAGTCTTGGCACATATATTCATAAGCTTCTCATGATTATTGATGCATGTTTTCAAAGTTGAATCTAAAGATGAAATACGTTTATTCACAAGATTCAAATCATCATTAGGCACATATGCATTTTTATTAGAAGTAGAATATAAATAGTTATTTGTAAAAGAAGCAACTTTATTTTTCATGTTCTCTACTTCTAATATGGCATTATTTTTTTTCATGAGTTAAACTAGAAACATTTGAGATTTAAGAATCATGAATAGTTTCAAACTTAGAAGCTAATAACCCATGATCGGATTTTAATGCAACATGCTTGCTTTATAATTTAATAAAATCTTTGTGTAATTTGTTATAGGCATGTAATAATTTTTTACTAGCACAAGCAAGTTCATCACTAGATAAATCATTGACGGATTCAAACTCGCAAACCTCATTAGGACTATCGTCTAGTGACCGTGTGCATAAAAATGAAGCTTCACATGAACTAGAAGCGGAATCCTCCAAAGCTTGTCGGATTGCCTCCAAATTCCCTTGATGTGCTTCTATAGAAGCGGAATCCTCCAAAGCTTGTCGGATTGCCTCCAAATTCCCTTGATGTGCTTCTATAAGTTTTCACAATGTGTAAGCACTATCAAAAGAATCGTGCTTCTATAAGTTTTCACAATGTGTAAGCACTATCAAAAGAATCAAGCTTGTTAGAAAAAGATGAATTGAACGCATTATGTAAAAATTCTAACAAGAGCTTGTTCATTGTAAATATTTGATGATTATTTTTATTCCACTTGGATTTCTCCGAAGTCGGCACAATATAAGCATCATTTATAATTTTTCATAATCAAAGTGTCTAGATTGAACAAAAAGTTTAAATCTAATACACCATTGGGTATAGGAAAAAATATCTAATCTAGGAGTAATATTGATGGTATAACCTAAACTAGGTGCACCGTTCATATCCATAATGTATATATATGAGCAAGCAAGTTAACAATAAAATCACAAAACTAGATTAGCACAAAAATAAGATAACTTGGATCTTTAACTCAAGGTGATTAGACCTTAAATCAAAGAGCACCAAGCTCTGATACCAATTGTTGGACCCTCGAGGGAGGTGATTAGGGTCTTATGCTAATCTAATCCGATTTTATGCCAATTAAAACTAATAATAAGTTATACTAGTAAGTATAAAATACAACAATATATATAAGTTAGGATAAGCAATATGAACAAAGAGATATATCTAGCAATGAGATATACTATGGGATATATGCAAGGATATACAAATTAACACAATGGTAAAATAAACATAAACAAAACAAGAGTGATAGTGTGCAAATAAACAATGCAAACACACAAAATGATCACGGAGTTCAGACCTTCCGTCCTACGTCTCCGCTCCCCACTCCCGGGGAGAAATCCACTAACACAACCGGGTTTTCTACGCTTACCCGAATAACGTTTACACCTCACACTCGATTTTCTAGCTAACCGAAAACTTCACAATTACACACTTGTAATTACACTCTACACCCTCTAAGTGTTGGCCTAGTCCATGTCCTCCTCAAGTGCTCGGATGCGACCTCTCTCTAGGTTCGTCAACCGACGCCAATCCTCTTGGATTCAACCCCGTCTCTCACCAACCACTCCTCTCGGTGTACAAGTGTAATACAATATGAACTTCACAATTAAGCACAAATACAATAAATGATTATTCTCTAATATGGATGAGAACACAATGAAGCTCACTCTCAATGATACAATCCTACAACCCAAATTATACTATGTATGAAATACTATAAGCTCAATGGTTATGTGCGAACAAAGAGAAATAAAATAAAATTCAATTAAAATCTAGCAAATATAAATATGACAATGTAAATGTAAACAAGCTAGATAATTGAGTTGAGAAAACTTCTCTAGAATAAGAGAGATGGAGATGTGAAGTGGAAAGCTCAAACCAAAGATGATCTCCTCTTCTTGTGAACCAATCTTCACAAACTTAAAACTTTTAACCCACACTTAAACAAAACTTAAACTCTTGTAAAAACTTGTTTAAAACATCCCTTGTTGGTAGAAAATAGTTATGACAAAAGGGTATATATAGGATAGAAGAAAACAACAAAAAAAAACCCCAAAAACCCACTAAAAAACAAAAATCAGCAAGTTACCGTTACTGTGCAACGGTAACTTCGGTGGTCGACCGCGAGAAGTAAAACTGCAAAACTGCTCTCTGGACTGCTGACGGTCGACCGTACTGTAGCACGGTCGACCGTGACGGTCGACCGTACTTTTCCAGATTTTGACAGATGCTAAAATTTTGTGTAAATGACTTTGGAAAATCAATTAAAAATAGTAAATCAACTCTAAAAATTATGAAAATTTGAGGGAATGTTCTAGACATGTAGATGAATATGTTAGAGAAAGAATTTCTAAAATATCACTTCCCAGTTGAGAGAAATAACTTGATGAGGACAAGAATGACAGCTTCCCAAATTTGTTATTTGACTTTTTAAATTTTCAGTTTTAGTAGTTTGAATTCAAAATTTGAATTGTAGTCTAAATTTAGTAGTTATTCAGTTTTGGTATCTAATTGATTTGGAGAGATTTGAGTGATTTTAGAAGATTTCCAAACTGTATTTTCTTTTCTTTATAAGGGAGTGCTGTAATCAGATTGAATTATTGAAGATGAAAATGAAATTGATTTTGCTCAATTGAGGTGTGAAACCCTAGCAAGTTCATTTTCGTTTCTTCTACAGCACAAAAAAAAAACAAAAAAAAAACAAAAGAAAATTCGGAAAACCGCACTGTTCATCTTCTTCCTCCAGCTCAAATCACAGAACCCTGCTCCCCTTCAAACCCATCCGCCCACAGGCCTCCCTCCCTCCTCCATAGCCGCTGACAAAACCTCTGTTAAATCCCCTCCTCCACAAGCGCCACCCCTCACCTCGAGCAACCTCCGCCATTTTTTTTCTGAAAGTGAAATCGCGCTCGCTGCTCCGTCTTCCTTCTTGGGTTCTTTCCGTTTAAAAAAAAGTGCTTGAAAGGATAGGAACGTCCAGATGCAGAGATTGGAGATTTTTAGGCTGCCTCATTCTTAATTATCCACTCTCCTTCACTTTACAGCTAGCAACAGAAACACGTGAGAGGCAAGTGCAACTGTGGAAAGAATTAATACTTGTTTACTATAGAAGATTTTTATCATAAGACTGGAGGGAGGAAGAGTTCCCTTTGTTCTCCAATCCAGTAATTGAACTGCTCCACCCCGTTCACTAGCACCCTTCAGTCGCCATCATCGTCTCGTTGCCCGCGTCCATTCGTCGATCGCATCCCCTGTCGCACACATCGAGTCTGTTCAGACCGACGAAGGTTTTGCTTCCTTTATTTTTCTGGTATCTCATTTGGTTAGTTAATTGCATGAATATATCATCTCTGAAATCTTATCATATATTCACTGCTTGATTAAATTTGTGAGTTGTGAGGAACTGAACATGTGATTGTTAAAACTTGATATTGATTGTAGAACTGGTACAATGATAATAAATATTGCGGTTAAATTATTCGAGATTGGAATTGTTTATGGTTATCATTGCAAATCTTGTTAAAATCCATCGGTCATATTAACTATTTTAAATTAATTTCCTACCGAATATCATGTATTTTAGCGAAACGGTGCGTTGTTCGAATTAAATCGCTGATTCTGATAGACCCCCTGCTTCGTTTCGCATCATAACTGTTTAAACACAGATATATAGTTTCTGAAAAACTGCTAAAAACTTGGTTTTGTAAATTCAATTGAAAATAACAAAACAACTCCAAAATTAGTAAAACTTGGGAAAATATTTGTATATATGAAGATAAACATGTAAACGAAGAAATTTTTCAAATCGCATTTCCCAATTGTGAAAACGTATCTGTTTTGCAAAAACATGCACGAACATGTGCACGAACATGAGCTTATTAAAAACTTAATTTTGTAAATTCAAATAAACATAACAAATTATTCCAAAATTGATAAAACTTTGGGAAACATTTATAAACATGAAATTGAACATGTTAGAAGAAGAATTTCTCAAATTGAGTTTTCCATTTGTGAAAACTCATGTATTTTGCAAGTGTGTCCAAAACATGAAAATGTGATATATATGAAATTTGATGTTTTGACATAAATAATGTTTTGAAACCCTATGAAATAATTTTATAGACTTAATGAAATATGTATACAATGATTGTTAAGTTCATAAACCAAAACTTGTGTATATATATAACTATATATATAAAAACCAAATATGTGTGTGTATATATGATTGAGCTTAAAGTACTAACACACATAATATAAAACCTAAACTAAATATACCCAAGCTTGATTGATCTTCGATGTAGCTCAACTTGGTACACTTGCGGATAAAGCTAGAACTTGGATCTTCAATTTGAATTGCATAGGCTTCACTCCATAATTCCGCCAACCTCCATTAGATATGATCGTGAATGCGCAATTCCATCCATCCTCCAACATGTTGTTTGTCTATAATAAATAGAATTATATAAATACTAGACAAACAACATTAGAAGTAAATTATTTGTTAAACATCATCAAAACAAGAAGGCCAACAGTCATGTCTTCTAGATCACAAGCTAGGTAAAATCATTGTTTGAGCAAGCATTTGCGAGTACTTGGATCACTCTATAGAAACTGTTGCCTTTATCATAACTGGTTCATATTTTATTTACATTTTTTTGCATGGTATTTTAATTGGTCATGATAATCAGGCCTCCTTGGAATCCGGCTTATATCTTGTAGCGACACCTATTGGCAATCTCGAGGATATCACCTTGCGGTATGTGAGAAATTTTGCTGCATGAAAAGTTATTTTATTTTTAAATTGTGTTCAATCCCTGTTAGCGGTATAAAAATGTAAACTTCTAATTTTCCCCCCCTTCAAAATGCTCCTGCTAAAGGAGCAGAGTTATAATGATAATTGAATCTTAGAATAGGATATATAACTTGTTAGAACAAGTGCACAATCAAGCGAAAATAATTACGAAGAACAAGCACGAGAATAAACAAGAAGCAACCACAAACATAGAGTTTTATGTGGTCCACCTAATTTGGGCTACATTCACGACGGAGACGCCGAAGAAATTTCGCTATCAAAAGGTAAAGGAGTACAATATCTCAACAGGCTAAAAGCCTAACTCTCAAAGAACCCTCTCAAGTCTCTGCTATTTTCTCACATACCAAAAAGATATTTGATGGCATGCTCTTTCAAAAGGGAGGTGTTTTTATGATTAGAAAACCCTATCAATTAATCCTCTTAGTCTTAGGCTAATCATAGCCATCCAAAAGTGAGTCGCTGTTATCTTTTTATTCTAAAGCCGAGTCGGACTTGTACAAAGTCCGCAAGCACCTAAGTGTCCAAGCTTTGTTAGGACTCAGTTGATTACATCACATCCCACATCTAACGGGATTCAAGTGCACATGCTGGTGGAGTTTTCTAGTGCCATAAGAGTTAATAACTAATAAGGATTGTTAAGGGTTTTGAGGTATAATTATCAACAAATCTCCACCTTGACTCACAGTGTCGAATGAGTTCTTCAGTTTCTCAATAACGTGTTGCTAACGCCTCTGCAAATGCGTCCTACGGCGCGTTATGAACGTGGAGCAAGTCCAAGAAAATCTTGAACTTGGCTACTGATAATGGCTTCGTCAACATATCTGTCGGATTATTCTTGGTGTCAATCTTCTTCAAGACTACTTTACCTTTCTCAGTACTCTCTCTAATAAAGTGATAATGAGCCTCAATATGCTTCGATTTTGAATTGAAGAAAGGATACTTAGCCAAATGAATCACACTTTCGCTATTACAATAAACAAGTATTTTCTGCTTAACTCCTAATTCACCAAGAAAACCTCTCAGCGATAATACTTCATTCACAGCTTCTATAGCTGTTATGAACTCCGTCTCTGTAGTAGACGAAACAATAATTATTTGTATCATTAACCTCTAACAAATTGAATTTCCCGCAAGAATAAAAATATAACCTGTAGTTAATCTACACTTATCCGAATCACCTGTAAAACCTGAATCAACATATCCGGTAGCAATGCAATTCTCGCCACTATCTCCGCTAAATACCAAGCCAACACCTGAAGTTCTCTTCAAGTGTTTAAGGATCCATTTTACTGTTTGCCATATGTTCGTTGTTAGAATTTTCCATCTACTTACTAACAACACGTATTTCTTGTAAAAGATCCGGTCGAGTACATACCATCACGTACATGATGCTCCTAACTGCACTGACATAAGGTACTTGAAACATGTATTCACTATCCGCATCCGTGCTAGGTGATAATAATGCTGATAGTTTGAAGTGAGTCGCAAGAGGAGTGGTAACATGTTTCGGTTTGTGCATTTTGAAGCGAACGAGGGCTTTCTCAATGTAGCTTTTCTATGACAACCACAACTTTTTTCCCATCTTTAAAACTCTCCATGCGAAAAATTTTCTTTGCTGCTCCCAAGTCTTTCATCTCAAATTCTACACCAAGTAGGATCTTTAATCTGTTCATCTCAGATTTATTCTTAGCTAAGATCAACATATCATCGACATATAATAGCAGAAAAATGAAGAAATGATCATTCAATCTCCTCAAGTAAATTAAAGCGTCATATTTGCATCTACTGAACCCATGACTGATCATGAAACAATCAAATTTCATGTATCATTGGTGAGGGGATTGCTTCAAGCTGTATAGAGATTTTATCCAGCAAATAAACATGAGCTTCTCTTCCTTCAATTACAAAACGCTCAGGTTGTATAAAATCTGCTCTTCAAGTTTACTATGCAAGAAAGCTGTTTTTGGCATCAAACTGCTCTGACTCTAAATTATATGTTGCAACCAGTGATACTAAAATACGAATGGAAGTATGTTTAACAGATGAGAAAATCTCATTGTAATCAACATCTTCAACTTGATTGTGACCTTTTGTAACTAGCTGAACCTTATATCTTGCATCTGAAACATATGTAGTGCCTTTCTTTTTCTTGAGCACCCTCTTACAACGTATGATTCTTTATCGTTTTGGAGGAACTCCCAAGTCTGATTTTTATGAAAAGATTCCATCTCCTTATTCATAGCTATCAACCAATTTGCAGAATTCTGTGATGAAGTGGCTTATAAGAAGTTGCCCGGTTCTCCTACATCACCTATCTCTTGAGCTGCTGATAATATATATACAATAGCTGAATCTGCATATATTTAGGGTGGCTTTATTAATCTCTTTCCTTAGTCTTTTGCAATGCTATAAATATCACATTTTACTGTAATTTTTGTTTCCTCATTATTCTCAGATGAACTAAAAACTAGTTGTGGAATTGAATTACGAGAATTTGTCTCCATCTTCACATTCTCTCTGGTACTCTTATGTGTAGTACCTGCATTAGAAGGAACAACATCAGTATCTTCTTTCGGAAGCAACATAGTAAACTCATGAAATATTATATTTTTCTCAATTATGATTTTAGGTGATGTATGATCAAGGTACCACAATCTATATCCTTTTAACGTCATAGACATAACTAATAAAAATGTATCTTTTAGGTCTAGGTTTTAATTTATCCTGATTTATATGTGTATATGCAGGACAACCAAATATTCTTAAATTATAATAATCAGCAAGATGACCAGATCATATCTTTTCTGGTGCCTTGCAATCAATGGATGTGGATGGAGAGCGATTCATCAAGTAACATGCTATAGACACTGCTTTAACCTAAAAATGTTTTGACAAACGACATTCAACAACATGCAACGAGCTCTCTAAAAAAGCACGGTCCGATATCTAAGTATACCCTCATCTTTGCAGAATTTATCAAACTCCAAGGAGCAGAATTTCAATCCATTATCTGTTCTCAGCCTCTTAATTTTTCTGTTAGTCTGCTTTTCAATCAATGTATTTTACTGTTTAAAATGCTTGAACACTTCATCCTTGTGTTTTAGCATGTAAACCCGATTTTCCTTGAGTAGTCATCGATGAATATCAACACATGCCTAGCACCACCCTTTGAAGAAACACGCGAGGGACCCCACAAATCAGAATGAATATTATCCAAAGTGCTTTTGGTTCTATGCATAGCTGTACTAAAATTGACATGCTTTTGCTACTAAGAACGCAATGCTCAAAAAATCTATTTTCCTTGTACTCTGGCCACAAAGAAGTCCTCTTGCTGAGTATAGCCATGCCCCTCTTGCTCATATGCCTTTGGTGGTATCGGTCTCTGATAATAACGATGTAGTAACTGCAGTATTACCTGTAACCATCTTTCTTTGCAAGATATAGAGATTCCCTAGCCATTTTGCCTTCATGATAACTAGGACACCTATAGAAACAGTTAAAATTTCACTTTTTGCTGAATACTTGCACCTGTTAGCTTTAAGGGTGCCTAGAGAGAAGATTCTTCGTCAAATCTGGAACATGATGAATATCTAGCAATGTCCTCACAATACCATCATGCATTCTAACTTCAATTATACAAGTGCCAATTGCTTTACAATCAGAATTATTTCTCATAAGCACAACTCTACCTTCAACTGATTTGCAGGTGGAAAACCAATTTCTATTGGGGCACATGTGATAAGTACAATCGAAGTCTAAAATCCAATCATCCTTTGATCTGCTTAAATTTGTAGTTAAGAGAACAAAACCATTAGAATCATCATTGACAATGCTATCCTTTGTGAAATCTTCTTTGCTCTGATTTTTCTTCTTATCTTTATTCTGAAGCTTCCAATACCAATTCGTGACATGCTCTTTATTCATGCAATTGTTACAAAATATGCTCTTAGTTTTGGACTTTAAATCTCGACTTGATTTTACTATTAGAACCACGCTCCATGTTTCTACCTCGAACATGTAGAGCTTCAACTTTACCATTACTGGATTCTATCAATTCTTTGTGCATCTACTCTTTTGAGAATAAAAATGATTTCACACCTTATATCGAGATAGATTCTCTGCCATATATCATAGTTCCTTAAAGTGCTTGTTAGTGGTGGTAACGAACATAACAGTAATAAAACATGATCTTCATACTCTATCTTTGCGTCTGCATTCTCCAAATCCATAATAATAGAATTAAATTTATCAAGATGTGATTTGATAAATGTACCTTTTGTCATTGTCCCAAGTGCAATCGATTGGCTAGAGTTTTTTCATGTAAAAAGATTCTAATTTGGGCCATAGGCCCGCCGCGGTCTTCTCGTGCATGACTTCCTGAAGAACCTCATTTGACAAGCACAATTAGATTGAAGTTAACGTCTTTTCATCCATCTCAAACTTTTTATCATCTTTTGTTGATATCGGCATCTTCTCTTTCCCCCAACAAAGCCTTCTGTAATCTTTGTTGAACAAGAAAAACCCGCATTTTCACTTGCTGAAGATCGAAATTGACATTATGGTTGAACTTTTCAATCTTGTATTTCACAGATATCTTCTATGTGCACAAAAACAAATCGAAAACTAGAGCTCAGATGCCAATTTGTTAAAACAAGTGCACAATCGAGCAAAAATAATTGCAAAGAACAAGCACGAGAATAAAAGATAAGCAATCACAAATACAGAGTTGTATGTGGTTCACCCAATTTTTGCTACGTCTACAGTAGAGGCATTAGAGAAATTTTACTATCAAAAGAACCCTCTCAAGTCTTTGTTATTTTCTCAAAAGGTATAAAACCTAACTCTCAAAGAACCCTCTCAAGTCTGTTATTTTCTCACACACCAAAAAAAAAATTTGACGGCAGGCTCTTTCAAATGAGAGGTGTTTATGATTAGAAAACCCT